ACACTTGCTTCTACTGACTTTCATTCCTCTTCTCTGCAGAGCATACCTCCACCTCTCCAGAGTCTCTTTCACCTGCTCCCTACTCTCTCTACAGATCACATCTGTGAACATCAGAGTCCACAGACACTCCTGCCTGACCTCATCTGTCAGCCTGTCCATCATCACTGCAAACAAGAATGCAGTCCCACCCCCACCTTCAACCCATGTGTCACTCCACTGCACACCTCACCGCTGTCTTGCTGCCCTCATACATGTCCGGCCTCACCCTCATATACTTCTTTGCCACTGCTGACTTCCTCATGCAGTATCACACTTCCTGTCTCAGCATCCTATCATCTACTTTCTCTACATCCACAAAGACACTTCTTTTGACCTGCTCTGTATTTCTCCATCAACACTCTCAAAGCAAACGTCACGTCTGTCGGAATCTTTCCCAACATGAAGCCTCGATTCAATAATTCATCCCACTCTCCGAGTCGCACTGGATGATAAAGCTAATCAGATAAATATTAAACACATGCATGTTGGTGACTTTCTCAGGAACTTCTGTTTAATTCCAGGTGGAGTGAACTGCTCTGCAGTACATCTAATCAACCACTAGAGGGTGGCACACTATTTGACCACAGTGATTGTGGGTTAAATTTAGTAAGAAGTGTTGTACTGGGTATTTGAGACAAAGGAACACTGAAAACTTAAAGTCAAGACGTTTTGACTCCAGGTAAACATTTATTGGGTAAATATATAAAGCCAAAGGCTCTGTGCATCTGAGGAGAGACTGCTGATCACAACCATGAGTGTGTGTTTGGTTTTCCCTTTTATGAACTGAAAAACGAAACGCCTGTGGCTCAGGATGTAGAGTGGGTCGGTGGTTTGATTCCCGTCTCCTCCAGTTTATGTGTTGAAATAACTCCGAGGAAGCCGCTGCACTGAATCGCCCTCGACGCTGTGTGAGTGTGTGTCAATGTTTACTCATAGAAAAAACACTTGTGCAATTTGTTAAATGAGG